TTCATTCAATTAGAAGAGCAATAAAAACAAAGTCTCTGTGGGCACTTACCTGCCCCAAAGACACTGATATATTCTTAATTAAGCTGGCAGTGTGGTAGCAAGGACCAGTAGGAGATGCCCTGGATGGGGAGATTTATTCACTGTACAGATTGCCTGGTTTAATTTGACAAATTGAAGGTGTCAAATTTTGTGTTTCCTTCAGTCCCTGCTCACAAATCCAGAGCAAACTCAAACCAATAAATGCCTGACAATTTAAAACCATAAAAGTATTGCATTCTGGGAGTGAATGCCCATCTCTTCGTGGGAAAGGCCATCACTTTCTGTGCAGATTTTCTTCCAAGATTTTGGAACTGCTGGGAGTGGACTGAGCTCAAATCCCAAGAGGCAAATGCTTAACCTGAATTTTGTGTTTTTCTTTTTTTAAATTGATTTGAAATGTTTGATCCACATCACCTGACAACTCCCCCTTCCCAAAGGGATGCAGGGTGGGGTGTCTGCCCTAACTCCCTGGGACTATTGATGCCCTTCACCTGCCAAAACACGTTCAAACCACTGAGCAAACCCTGCAATATTTGCACAGTGCATTTCCAAACAGGTGCCCAACTCGCCAGAAAGGCTGAATAAACAGCTTATTGTAGGAGTTTCTCTTTATTGTGCTTTTCCCACCCTGCAGGCCAATTCCAGGGGCTCTCAGATGCCACCGGAGCAAAACGTCCAGGTAAATGAACACAGATGAAAACTCACTTTTACTGCTGTTCCCCTCCAAATAAAAAGTGATTCCCTGGGGGGGGGGGGAAAGAAGAAATCTTATTCCTTTTGTGCGTGGGGGGCTCAAATTCTAACTCTTCACAATCAAAGGCACCACTTGCCTTTTTCAGGGGGTTACTCAGAGCCTTCCAGAAACCCTTTGTACAACCCTGGGTGGATTTGGGGCTGTTGGGTCGTTACTAAATTAGTGCCTGGAGAAACTGGAGAGACACGAGGGGAAAAAAAAAAAAATCAGCTGTAAGAAAACAAACCAAACCACTAACAGTGGAAAGAAAAACCCCAAACATTATTAATAAAAAACCCTCAAACACGACTAAAGGAGAAAACACCACCACAACAAATACGAGTAAGAAAATAAACACTATTATGAAAAGCTGGACAAGAACATCCTTTCAGGTTCTTAATTGTTACTGCACTGGGTGGTGACAGAGAAGGGAAAAGAGAAATGTTGCACCAATAAACCTTGCTGAGACAATTCAATAAAAAATACAGACAGAAGGGTCGGGACGAGTTAATTAGCGAAGAATTTAGACAGTGAGCTGAGTCAGCAAATTTTCCAGTTTGAAGTGTAAGCTGAGGAACTCTACAGAGCAAGGGGAAAACTCTCCCTTCCATAATGCCAGGCAGATATGTAGGAAGCAGTAAACTTTATGACAGGAAGAAAGGAGTTCAGCAGCCTTTTGAAGTGAGAGAGAAGTTTCCTTGCTGCAATTCCGTGCTCTCCACTTATCCATCAGGAATGGGCCTTGCTGATTGAAAACCAGCAGCAGGGAAGGGAAAACCAGGGACAGCATTCCTGAAGGGTTCTCAGGTGATGTTTAATGGCTTGTGTTATCAGGATGAAGGGATGCTGCACCAGCAAAACCCCCTCAGTGTCTTTGGGAAGGATCTTTTAAACGTTTCCAGAGCAATATATGCAATACCTGCAAAGAAGTGGAGGGAGCAGCTGAAGGGAACAGCTTAGAACAAAACTGTGCCTCTGGTTCTGATGGAACAGAATTGCCTCTTTTAAAATACTGTTTAATCAGGTTATACTGATACATGTGCTATGAAAGTATCAGAAGGTAACTCAATATAAAACACTACATGGTATTTGGTTGTGCTACTGGGTATAAATCTGTAACTTAGCTATGGGATCTTCATAAAAATTAAATAGGCCATTTGACCATAACAGCTGATCAGGGTCCATAAAAGGCACTTGTGTTTGTTTAACAAAATAAATCAGGAGCTGAGATAAACCATGGAGTAGAAGGATGCTGAGAGAGGTAAGGAAAACATTCTAGAGAAAACCATGTCATCAGAAGAAAGATTAAAAGCTGAGTTCTTTAATGCAGACCAAGGAAGAGTGCACTGCCAAAAGAGATTATTTTCCCCTTGCTCTGTGTCTCTCCATCAACCCCTGAAGCCCTTGGTTGTTTAAGCAATTAAAGAAACCAGGTACATACCAAGTAAATAAAGTGATGACCTCCTTAATGCAAAGCAAGATTAGAGGTTAAGTACACCAACAAACCCCAAATTATTCAGAACGTGTTTAAATGCTGAATGACCCTCAAACCCTCCCTGATCTGCTGATACACAAAGGGGGGCAAGAAAGCAGCTCAGCTGCCCAAGAGCACTATGCAAATTCCCAGTTATTATCCACATGTCACTTCCTGCACTTCCCACACTGGTGTGAAAAACCCCTTTGATGTTCCCACAGCTCTCAGCTCATCACCCCACTCGCTTCACCCTCGAATTCCACCACAACAAACTCGTGTGCCTGAGCCTGACCTTTACCTGGAACTATTTATTTACTGGGACCTCGAAGAGCAGATTCCAGGTTTGAAATACAGCCAGATGATTTCAAGGGTGGAGTCAGGAAAACACTTGGAACAGAGCTGACCAGACACGTGCGTGGATCTCAACCCACCGGCTTGGGACACACCTTCTCTAGGCAGGTCTCTGGTTTCTCCCGTAAATCATGGAATCCCAGAATGGTTTGGGTTGGAAAGGGCCCTAAAGCCCATCTTTTTCCAACCCCTTCCATGTGCAGGGACACTTTCCACTAGAGCAGGTTGCTCCAGCCTGGCCCTGGACACTCACAGGGATGGGGCAGCCACAGCTTCTCTGGGCAAAAAAAATGACCATTAGGTTACTGCTGTTCTCATCACAGCTCCCAGGCAGTGGCAACACGCTCACATGGCCCATTCACCATCCAAATCACACGTTTCTGCCGTGTTTTATGCAAAGAAAAATTGCAGGTTCCAAAATCCTACCACAAAAACACAGCCGTGATTAAACCCACAGCAAGCAAAGCAGCAACTCCACATCCATCCATCCATCCATCCTCCAGTTCTCCCTGTCAAAGCCTGCAAGATGAAACCTATTTGGGTCCTCAGACCTAGAACACAGTCCTTAAAAGGAAAAATCCAGTTAAAATACTGATTATTGCAAAGAACTCCAGCCATAGTCAGCCACCTGCATCACCACAACGAGTGACTATGGGGAAAGCAGAGCGGGAGGGTTTTTAGGTAAAATAGAAGATTTTCAGCCAAGGAGAAAATATGAAAGACACTGCTTTTTCCACATAAGATAAAGTATGAATCTGAGAGAAAAAAAATTAATATGTACTATGCTTTTTGTAGCAATCCAAGTATTTTTGGACAGCCCTCGAACACAGGGAGGTGGTGCCCCAAGAGGGGCAGAATTCCCCCAGCTCTTATCGGGCGCTGCGTAAACACCAGAAAGCGCTGCAGGAAGATAAAGTTCTCCACCTGCTGATGGTTGCTACTGTTAACCCAAAACGGGGTCAAAAAGTGAACCCACCCAGCTTCTGCAGGAGGGGTTTTTTTATGGCTTAAACTCTGGGGAATAAAACCACGGCACCATCTGAGAGAAAAAAAATATGGAGAGAAAAAAAATATGGAGAGAAAATGGAGAGAAAAATAACACTCAGCACGTAGGAGACAGGCAGAGACAAAGGGTGAGGCCTGGCAAGGGCTGGGCCAGCTGAACCAAGAGCACAGCGCTCAAAGCAATCTGAGTAATCAATAACTGGGGACAGGAAAATGAACGAGCTGTCGTGCAACCCTCCCGCAGAAATCATTGCCGAGATGAAAGATCACGGGTAATTATCATTAGTTCCTAAAGCTATTCAGAATAAGATTTAACTTCCCTCCAAGAAGTCAAGTGACTGAGATTTTTAGAGAGTTATCAAGCAAGGAAAAATGGCCATATTATTAGCAGCCTAAGACTTGGAAGGGTCTGATGTCCCACTCCTCTGCAAACATCTAAGGCAAGTCACCAGCCTTCTCATTTTTCCATCATAAAAAGAATAATTGGGTACTTTAAACTTATTTAATCCATGACAGACTGGGAGGTATTTGTTGGCAGCCATAAATGTTGTGCTCTTATAGATATGAATCCAATTTTACACTTAGTGATCTCAAAGGGAGCAAGTTTGTTGAAAAACACAGTCCAAGGCCTAAACACCATTTTAAAATCCAATATACAATTCAGTCTGATTACTTCTATTCCCCAAAGAACAGAAATGGGCAGGATTTAACCAATCAGTGCTGACAGATTGAAGGAGAAAGGAATGCCTTGTCCATGGTTCAACCACAGAAAAATTAAGTTCCACAGGAGCTTCCTACAGAAGAGAAGCCTGATGATCACAGGGATCCATCTTTATAAACCAACGTGCCCTTCACTCCAGTTAGGGCTGGATTTACAGTTAGCCAAGAGATTAGCACTGGTGTAGAGCTGGGCCAAAGCCAGCATCAGCCTCCTTCTCCCTTTTTATGGCCATTCTGAATAGACAACTTTAAAAAATAAGTGGCACCTCCACCAGCTTCCCTCAGCTGTAACACCCCAAGATGGAACAATTCTGGTGTGATCATCTCAAGGTCCTCATTGGATAAATTCCTCTAAGCTGCCAAAAATCTCTGGCACTGGAGGCCCTCCAGAACCAGGAGAACTGTGACAGATTGTGCCAGACAGTTGGCCTCCCTTCAAAGGCTCAGGAGGGCAGGGTGGGGAAAACAGGGTGGGGTGAACAAAAAAAAAAAAAATAAAAAATAATCCCGACTTAATTATAAATAGAGCTTAAGAATCCCATCCACGTGAAAGTTCTCCTGCTTTGTATCACAGCTACCTCCCGGGCTCAGAAAGCTGCCTTGGACAGAGAACACTTGGCAGGAGCCTCCTGTGGGTGGTAACACACGGGAAGAGGGTGAGGGAATGTTCCTCCTTACCAAACTGGTGGAATTGTTTGTTGTTTTGCTCCAGGTCGGAGGTTACGGTCAGGACCAACACAGAGCTGGGTGATGGAGGTGTGGCTGTGCTCTCCTGATGCCCAAGAGCTTCTTTCCTCCCCTCCTTACTTGGCTTTGGGGTCCCCCATCTCTTCCCCGTGCTCTTCTCGCTCTCCTCTTCCCACTGTCAGGTCCAGGTGTTTTACCCACTGCTGGAATGCAGGTGAGAGGGAGGAGCAACAATCAGGGATGGGAGGGAAGGAAAGCACAAGATGACCCTCCAGGGAGCATAAAATCCTGGCAGAAATGTCTCCCAACGGGAGCACTGCTGTGACTGCTCCAGGATCTCCCTCCACTTGCCAAACAAAAAGCTCTCTTGGGCTTGCTTGCAAACAGAGCAGTCCTCTTGTGTTACCTGTTTCCTTTGTCTATCTTTTGTCTTGTCAGCTGCAAGGAAATCAAATTTATCTGCTGACATCTCAGCAGAAAAAGGAAATAATAATAATAATAATAATAACTGTAACCTTTAAGAAATGCACTGCTCTGTACCAAACCCAGAGTTAAAGGTGCTTTATGAAGCTATATTTAGTGTAAAAAAATAGATGAAACTAGTCCTTGAAATGCCAACTGCTACTTCAATGGAGAATTATTACAAATAACATTCATAACGTACTAATCCAACCACTGACTGTGATACAACTTTAAATGAACCCAAAAGAAAGCTTTAGCAGATATTTTTGATGGAATTGAAAGCAAACTGCTACTTGAGTGAAGACACCTTAAAGGAAGAGAGTTTGGATGCTTCAGAACCACAAACACCAAGTGTGACAACTGGAGCCCTCCACAGTTCACAAACTGGGTAAGAAGAAGATCACAAGCCTTGGAAAGCCTTCCCTGCACTTCTCCACCTTCCTTTCAACACTTTGTCACTTCACCAGCATCAACAACACATCTCCCGAGGTGATAAGGGAGGGCAGAACCCTCTGAAACAGCTCCCTGACACCTACAGAGGCTGCAGAAGCTCTTGAGGATTCTAAATACTGAATTAGAGTTTACTGTGGGGGTGGAGGAGGCCCTGGCACAGGTTGTCCCCATCCCTGGAAGTGTCCAAGGCCAGGTTGGACGGGGCTTGGAGCAACCTGGGAGAGTGGAAGCTGTCCCTGTGTTCCAGGTTGAAATACACTCCTTTCAAGGCCCAAATCTATTGGTTTTAAATTCATTAATTAAACTATCACAACAGTAAAAAAAAAGAAATAGGAACGTTATTCTCACTTTTTGGAGCCAATATGTGGATTTAACTCCTCCAACAAACACACCAGTTTCAACAGCTTGAAATTTCTGCTTCCCAGCTCCTGCTGAATACCAAATGTTGTGAGGGGTTTCTGAAAAATTCCTTTTTTTAGGAACACATACCTTTCATTCTGAAAGGATATAAAGTATAAAACCTGCTGTTACCTCATCAGTCATTGCTTATTCAGGCTCGACACACACGCTATAAAAATCAAAATCCACGTGCTTGTGCCTCATAATCCCTTTACTTACAGAAGTCTGGCTGTGGGCAGAGATCTCCAAACGTGGTGTTTTGCTTGTAAAAAATGCTGAACAGAAGTTTCAGGGCTTCAGCTATTATGAAAATGTCACAGCTGCTAAAAACCAACACTCTGTGCTGTGGATCTTGTACAACTGTGACATTTTCTCCCATTATGTTGCTGACAGTGTTGTGGTTTTTGTTTTTTTTTTTTAATCCCATCTCAAGTATAAAAATCTCTTAGATATTTTCTACATTCCTGCAAATGTAGTCACACTTCTGTGTTTGGGGTTTGGGGTTTTTTAACTGTGTGTATTAATCAATACCAAATGGCTCTAGTTTTGCATGTTCTAACAAATCAAAATATAACCCCAAAAAAATTATTTAATGGGAGGGTGGGCAGGCCCTGGCACAGGTTGGGCAGAGAAGCTGTGGCTGCCCCTGGATCCCTGGGAGTGTCCAAGACCAGGCTGGAGCAACCTGGGCTCAGTGGAAGGTGTCCCTGCCCGTGGCAGGGGGTTGGAATAAGATGATCCTCAATGTCCCTTCCAACACAAACCATTCTGAGACCCTGAAGAAGATAGAAATTTAAAAAAAAAAAAAAATCCAAATTCTCTGTCCTCACACCACAATTATGAACATCATTTGTGCAGGGCAGGGGCAAAAAAAGAGAAAACTTTCTCCCAGGAAATGCAAGAACCAAATTACTATCTACAGATTGCTGAAGGTTTACAGGAGGGATTTTTGCCTAAAAAAAAAAATGTCTGGATGGAGAATTATTTAGGGCTCCCCACACTTGCAGGATTTAAGCACTAGGAGAGCCACTCAGCACCCCCAAGGTCCTTAGGATGGGTGCCAGGGCCAGGATGGCAGCTGGGGGGATGAGAAGTGGGAAAAGGCTTTGGAAGATGACATTCAGCAGCGTTACTACTCCTAAAATTAGTTCAACAGCAGCCACCCCACCAGTCCCCAAAACCTGCAGCTCGCCCCCTCCATGTGTGGTCACACCACAAACCACATGAACTGCTCCAGGTGAAAATATCCCCCCTCCCCCCCAAAAAAAAAGCAGCTTTCCAGCACAGAAACTGCTCCAGGTGAAAATAACCCTCGAAAAAGTGGCTCTTTCAGCCACTTTCCTTTCCCTGGCTGGCTTCACTCCCCAGCTGTATAAATGCCTATGCAAACACAGCCCAGGAAGGAGCAGGAACAGACAACCTGGCCACTGGTTTATGTTGTCACAAAGCTCCCTGTGAACTTCACCCCTCCAGCAAAGTCTGTCTTAAAATAAACTCCGGCCTTGCCCCGCCTGGGGAGCTGGTTCACATTCCTCACGTGCCTTGCTAATGGATCAATAAACCCTCAGCAGCTCTACCTGTGCTTAGAAACTGAGGTGGTACAAAAACGAGACACCCATGAATGCAGATTGCACCCTGCAGAAGCCTGCGGGGTTTTGGCAGCAGATTTATGGCAGGGGGTGTGACCCCAGCCCAAACAAACAGCTCTGGGAGGCTCAGGCTGGTGGGATTGACCTGATTACACCACAGATATTGCTGGGTGAGGGTGGTTGTAGCCCTTGGTGCACATGCAGGCAAGCACAAAGGTTATTGGTGTGCAGGGAGTTCCACCTCTGCTCTGGAGCCAGGCTGGGAGAGCTAGGGGGGTTCCCCTGGAGAAGAGAAGGCTCCAGGGACACCTGAGAGCCCCTTGCAGGGCCTAAAGGGGCTCCAGGAGAGCTGGAGAGGGACTGGGGACAAGGCATGGAGGGACAGGACACAGGGAATGGCTTCCCACTGCCAGAGGGCAGGGAGAGATGGGAGATTGGGAAGGAATTGCTGGCTGGGAGGGTGGGCAGGCCCTGGCACAGGTTGGGCAGAGAAGCTGTGGCTGCCCCTGGGTCCCTGGAAGTGTCCAAGGCCAGGTTGGATGGGGCTTGGAGCAACCTGGGATCGTGGGAGGTGTCCCTGCCCATGGCAGGGGGGTGAGACTGGATGATCTTTAAAGTCCCTTCCCAACCCAAACCAGCCTGGGATTCCATTTAGCCATTAAAATTAAAAAAAGGCATAAACAAGTGAAGAACAGAATGGAGAAATAGGACTGCCAATTTAGTAACAACTCAGTAACTCAAAGATTTGCAAAAGCAACCAGTGTGAAAAGACACAAACCCCTCAGAGGAGAGGTGGTGCCTCAGAAGAAGGTCATTCAGGAAGAACAAGGACCAGAGCACTGCAAGGAGTAAGAAATTAAGGCAGTCTGACGTTCCCAACCTCCCTACCAAACACCATCACATGGCTGAACCCCACACAGGGACTATTGTAATGAGCAATGAGAAAAATTCTTCCCTGGAAAGGGTGGTCAGGCACTTGGCAGGGGCTGCCCAGGGAGGTTTGGAGTGCCCAGCCCTGGAGGTGTCCCTGGCACTCAGTGCTCTGGGCTGGGGACAAGGTGGGGATGGGGACTCTGTGACCATGGAGGGCTTTTCCAACCTTAATGATCCTGTGATTCTGTAACTTAGTCCCATCCTGCTTTAACTTATTTCTTGTGGGATCAGCCAGGAGCCAAGGGGGCGGCTGCCCAGCTGGAAGCTGTAGGTGTGACCCTGCAGCCTGGTCTTCAAACTCAATAAAACACACCCAAAAAAAAGCCACCCCGAGATCTGGTGGCTGCACAGCTGAACCCCTGAGGGTGCTGGGCCATCACCTCCCATCTGCACCAGAAGGGGACGTGTAGAGAAGCTCTGCTGTGTTAAATGAGTTAATAAATAATCACTCACGGATGAACGAGCTGACTCAACGCCCAGGAGCTGAGGGAGCCTCGTGCCCTCCCTGGCACTGCCCCTGCACCCGCCTGACCCCACTTTGGGCACACCAAGCACACTGGTTTTGGCAGAGGAGCTTTCTTGCCACTTCAAACCACGCTGAGATGGCCTGGGCCCGGCCCAGCCCAGCCCTGAAGGCAAAAAAATGGGAACACAAGGCATGAAATGGAGGCAAGAACTGAACCACAGCAGTCAGTTTGGGCTTGGCTGCCTTGACATTACAACAAGACTCACTGAGCAATTCCCAGCTTGCTGGTGGATGGGCCATAAATTTGTAACACATCTACAGCAAAGACACAACACATATTTCCTGGTCTGACTGACTAATTGGAACACTGCATTACCATCTCCAGCTGCTTTTGCCTCCTTTGTTCTGCTGTATTAATTTACATGGACAGGGGAAGCAGGGACGTGCTCTCAGTCTGCTGCTCTCTTTGGAAGGGGAAACATCCCTCAAATATTTCCTCTTGTGCCACAAACTGTTTTGAAGTGGTTTTAATTTGACAGGAGAGGCACTTGCTAACTCATGCTCCAGTGCTTGTTATTAACTGTGTCACCCTAAGGACTCCTGATTAGTCCTGCACCATTTGGGAAAAAAAAAAAAAAGAGGAGAATTTGCACATAAAGTTACTAAAAAGTTAATAATTAAATCACCTTAGTGAGACTGAAATGAAAGTTGAGGAGAAAGTAAAGAATTAAACCCCAGAAAATTATGGGAGAAGCTAGAGGGGAAAAAAAATTCAAACCCTTATTTTTGCTCCATGAAAAAAAAAAAAATATGCAGAGCATTAAAGGAGTTTAAAATGGTTTAACTCCTGGTCATTGAAAGTAACAGGAAAATTTCCCATCAATCAGAATTTAACTTCAGAAAAAGAATTTTATGGACAAGAGTCAAGTTTTCTTTTCCAACCTCAATGATTCTGTGTAAGTTCATCTCAGTGCAGAAGGCAACCCTAAGTCATTCTGAGCACTCCTTCTCTTATTCTTACATTAAAAATAGCATTTTCACCTTCATTTTTTTCATGTTACTCAACAAAGAGCACGGGAGAAGCATTCCTACAGCAGAGAAGGCTGCAAGTCACCATCAAAAGGTGATTGAAAGTAGAAAGGTGACTCTAAATAGAGACAAAGTTAGGGAGAGAATTTTCACAATGAGCTTAAAAACCTTCCAGTAGCTCAAGAATGCAACAAACTTATTATGTTGCTAAAAAATTGAAGCAAACAAGCAAAGAACAAAACTGAACCAGTTTTCCATCAACCAGATTAGCACCTGGGCAAGGAAATACAGCTGAAATTCATTTTTTTGGGGATGTCAGAGCTTCTCCATAAATTTGGGGTCCAAAGAAAAGTGAGACGAGATGCTCTGGACCGAAAAATTCTGCATTTACCTCCGGCTGAACCACCCCAGGATCTCTTAAATCTGATTTTCCAAGTGAATCCCGGGCTCTCCACACGAGAATCCTCCCCCTGCTGCATCCCAGCACTGTTTGATGGAAGGGGACTGAGGCAGGTGATGTGAGCAAGGAAGGTTTTTAGCACTCCAGATTAATTGTCTTTGCTCAGTGGTCATTAATCATGGTACCCCTGAAAGGAGGTAAGAGCTCAAATATTTTTCTAAACGGACAGAAAGTCGGCTTGGTTGTGTTTTATCTTCTGTAATCCCTTCCTATCTCCCTTTCATCAAAAGATTGGGACAGTTTTCCAGCAAAATAAAGCGATTTCTAGGACTTCTAACATGATGCTTCTCACAGGAAACGAATAACAATTTAAGGTGGGCTTTTAAAAATTCAAATTATAGAATGGTTTGGGTTGGAAGGGAGCTTAAAGTTCATCTAATTCCAAGCCCCCTGCCATGGGCAGGGACACTTTGCACTAGACCAGGTTGCTCCAAGCCCCAAATTAACTCTTGAAAGCCCTTTTTGCTGCCTTTTATAATTGACAAATCAGCAATGTTACACTTAAAACACCCACTGAATATATACCCAGTATGTTCTATCCCCCCCAGAGACACCAAGGGGAAAGCAGAGATGCCTAATTCACTCACAGTCTTGGAAACCACCTGTAATTGTGTCAGTGAGAGCAAACTTTTAGAGCTGATGGAATACCTGACTTCTAAAATCAGAACACTCTGGGCAGTCAGGCAGAAAATCTTACAAATTGCCACCTCAAAGGGTATCCCAAGCAGACCCTCACACCATTGCCTGAGGAGCAGTTCAGGGAAAGATTGTTATCGAGGCTTTCCCCAGCCTGGTTTAAAGTGAATTTTATTTTTTATTTTATTTTAATTTCTATTTATTTCTATAGGCTGGGGGTAGCCCTGATGATTTCCCTGAGCTCCCAAAGAGCCCCACTGCCTTTTCAGTGCCCATTTGATGCCCTGCCCAAGCTGCCACCCTGGCTGGGGACTCCGGGCAGAAGAAGAGTTGAAAGAGGCCACGGAGTCGGAAAAATCCTGGTCGAGGAGTAGCTGGAAGCTCCACTAATTTACTCCTTGCAGGAGCATCCTCTGGCCTCAAGGCTTTGTGGAAAGGAAGGGGAGAAGGGAGAAGGAAAGGGAAAGGGAAAGGGAAAGGGAAAGGGGAAAGGGAAAGGGAAAGGGAAAGGGGAAAGGGAAAGGGGAAAGGGAAAGGGGAAAGGGGAGAGAGGGGAAAGGGAAAGGGGAAAGGGAAGGGGAAAGGGAAAGGGGAAGGGAAAGGGGAAAGGGAAGAGGGAAAGGGGAAGGGAAGGGGAAAGGAAAGGAAAGGGGAAGGGAAAGGGGGAAGAGGAAAGGGGAAAGGGGAAGGGGAAGGGAAGGGAAAGGGGAAGGGAAAGGAGGAAAGGGAAGGGAAGAGGGAAGGGGGAAAGGGAAGGAAGGGAAAGGGGAAAGGGGAAGAGGGAAAGGGGAAAGGAAAGGGGAAAGGAAGGGAAAGGGAAAGGGAAGAGGAAGGGAAGGGAAAGGGGAAAGGGAAAAGGGAAAAGGGAAAAGGGAAAAGGGAAAAGGAAAGAGGGAAAAGGAAAGGGAAAAGGGGAAAGGGAAAAGGGAAAGGAAGGTGGAGGGAGCAGGAGGGTGGATGGACTGAAGTGAGGAGGGGGGGAAAGAAGGAATTGGAGAGCAGGGAAAGCGGAGAGGATCTTTTTGGCAGCACTGAGCCTTTAACTCACCTCACCTACACACATTTTCACCTGTCACTCTCTGGTCGTGCTGGGGGATTTTTTTTTTCCCCTGATTTTTTTTTTTAATGGATCAGTTTCCTTACCGAGCCCATACCTGCAGAGCTGGCACATGGATGGGGAAAAAGCGACAATCCCTGAGCCACAACACCTGGGAAACACAATATTAATGGTAAGAAATCATTACCTGCCCCAGACAAATGCTTAAAAATCCCATTTAGGGTGGGTGTGTCCTCTGACAGACCAGGTAAAAGAGTTAAAAATAGAATTTTCAATTTTTTTTTTTTTAATTTCCTCCTTTAAAATTACCCCAAGAAAATGAAAGCCAATAATAATTGTTAGCAACTCCTTTTCAGCCCCAAAGCATCCCTAAGAGAAGGGGGGATGGGGGGGGGGCTCATTACACGGCATCTGATAAGTCCTTGGCACAGTTTAATGATAAACAATGGGACTCTGTCTGGAATCAATGTCCTCCCTGCATTTGCAATTTTCCCAGCAGGAACAAAAAAAAAAAGCAAGCAGGGTGGCTAATTTAATGGCCCAGAGCCAAGTGGAATTACGGGATACCCAACACCTGTAGGTCACACTCTTTGTGCCTGAACCACATCAAGCATAAGGACCCCTCTTTTCCCACTCACATAAATCCCATTTTCGTTTGAAGCACGTTTTTTTAATTGGCTGTTATTCGGGACAACTCGGGGAGGGTGGGGGTGGTTTATTTAGAGCCCAGGAGAGTATAATGAGGACTCGGGAACAATTGTTTCCTTTCGTGCCATGAAAAGACGCCGCATCCTTGTTTTCCTGGGAAGTAAAACAGGGGCGTGTAATGCTCACTTCAGGCTGGGAGAAAAAACCTCCACATCAAAATAAACAACCCCCTCCACATCAAAATAAACAAACCCCTCCACATCAAAATAAACAACCCCTCCACATCAAAATAAACAACAAGCACATGGTTTTAACATCGGTTCCTGACACTTCAAGAGAGGAGAAACTCCTCAGATTAAAAAGAACATGAAAAAGTCCTCGGAGGAGAGTTTTAATCCCTGGGGAAAAGGCTGCTTTGGGTTGGAAATGTGGAACCAGGGTTTGATGTAGACAAGTGAAGAAGGAAGGGCAGGGGGAGGAGAATTACCCAGCAAAAGGAGTCCGTGCTTGGTTGGGTTTTCAAGTGATGGAAGCACCAGTGATGTAAAACACGCTGAGATTAACAGGAATCTAAAACAAAACATCAGCAGATGCAAGTGGGGTTGTGCTGGGACAGTTTTATATATATATATATTTTTAGTAGCTCAGAAGGTGCAATGCTTTGGATTTATGACCCAAACAGTGCTGAAAACACAGATTTTTCAGCTGTTGCTGAGCAGTGCTTACAGAATTTTTCTAACAGTAAGTGGGACTGGGGGTGCACAAGAATTTCGGGGCGGGGGAACAGCCTGGAGAACTGATTCCAACAGACCAAAGGGATATTCCAGATCACATGGCATCATGCTCAGCATATAAAATGGGGGAAGAAAAGGGAGGGGGAGATGTTCAAAGTGATGGTGTTTGTCTTCCCAAGTCAGCTTTGGGTGTGATGGAGCCCTGCTCTCCTGGAGAAGCAGCAAATAAATCCCTTATTTTACTTTGCTTAATAATTCCTTACATAAAACATGCACTTCAGGACTTGGAAAATACTATTTTCAGCACAGGGGGGTGACTGGTGGACCAGGAAAAGTGCAAGTCATCTGTCATTTCCCAGAAGGGAGAAGGATCTCCTTTTTGTCCCATGCACATATAATTTAAGAAACTACAGGGTGCATCAGCTGCTCAGCTCTGCAGAGATTCCCAGCACCAGGATTGTCCCTGTGATCACAGCCTTGGACTTGGACAAGCTGCCAGACCCAACCAGCATCATCACTCCCATACATTTCCCAGATCGCCAAGTTGTTGGTTTTTTTTACTCTTCAGCAACCTGAAAACAGTGAGAAAATGCAGGGCAAAAAGGCTGAGTGTGGATTTAAGCAACACTTCAGACCAGTGTCACCTACTTCTCCACGGCTTTGCCAACCCCCTTGATGTTCTCTGAGTGGAGCTAAACAAGAACAGAGCACCAGAGATCAGAATTTGATTGATTTTGATTTCTGTGTCCCAACTCCACTTCAAACGGGGTCTGAAGCCTTGCACTTGCTGCAGGTTAATTTAAAAAGAAGGTTCCAGCACGAGATGTCTCTTTAATTTCACAGTCTCCATCCAGACACTTGCTGAGGCCCCTTCACCCCTGGCAAGCCCCAGGGAAACCTCCTGGTCCCCACTTGGCACGAAAATTAATTCCACTACAAACACGTCCCCACTCTATTACAGAATAAAAATGTATTAGAATTTAATCTCTGCTAAGGATTTGCTACACATTCAAAATAGAAAGGTTGTTGTTTTGGTGGTTTGGGATTTTTTTTCCCTCCTCAAATTAAAAAATAAGCAGGCATGAATTTAAAACGCTTTGATTGCCCCGATCTGCTTCCATGTCCATAATACAAATTAAGGCGTGGAATTCACAAATAACAGCCCAAAAAAACCCGTGCAAAATACTTCCAGTGCTGCCTTGTAAGAGGCCACAGGGAATTTGGTGACAAGGGGCAGCAGTTCAGGCAGAACACTGGGTGTCAAACAAAGGGTTAAACAAAAAAGCACTTGGCTTTCTTCTAGATGGGTATAAATAAGTACCAGAAAACCATATTAAAGAAAAATTATTCAAAAAGAAGAGGATGGTCATGTAAGAACCAGGTATTCTAATTTGTTTTTCCTAAGCAAGCTCAGCATAACATCAAATAAAGAAAAAAAAACCAACTCAAATCCATTCCACTATGCAGTTTGCACAAATCAAAGCACTTCTGCCACCACAGGTACCCCCTAAAGGAACAGCTACAGTCTATTAACAGGCCACCAAACTCTGCCAAAACTGCACAGAAACTTCCAAAAACCCCCACAGAGAAGCTGCTGCTCTGTGGTTACATCACCAGCCCTCTCGTTCTGGGCACACGAGGCCTTGAGCTGCTTCTGACACGACATAAAAATAAATAAGTGAAGATTCCTTCTCTTTTCCCATTATCCAGTGATGATTCTGGTAATGAATTCCTCATCTTGGCATTAGAGGCAGCAATTGAATTTATTCCAACCACACAGTTGTTCCCTCGTGCTTTTTTTAAAAGAGAAAATATACAGAGTATATGATTTATGTCCCCTGTGCTGTCTCTTCTGTCAACTCTCCTCTCCCACTGCTGCACTACCATTTGCAAATATTGCCTCTTGCTGTTAAAAAAAAAAAAAAGGAACAAACCCCAAGTTCAGTCCATATTTTATTGCTAGACCTGCTGACAAGTCTAAAAGCTGCATCTCATGTCACAGGGCTCAGCCTTTTTAACTCTGTTTCCATGTCAGGAGCTTAATGAGCAGAAATCCCAAGGAGAACTCCAAAGAAGATCAATGTCATTCAACAGAACCTCTCCTTTTGCCTTTTTTTTCTTTTAAACATGTGCATTCCTGAGAAGACAATGATGACAGATTGAATGTCAAAACCTTTTAAACATTTTTCTAACCTTTGAATTTTTATTTTTTTTTTTAACCTCTTAAAAATAAGCTTTGCTGCCTTGAGCTTACACAACGTGAAAGCCAAACCTTTAATAAAAGGTACACTTGGCCTTCCTCTGATGCTAATTTAGCAACTATTTATTTCTTCCACGGGTCTAATCACATTTTATTGTTAGAAACACCTTCCTTTATTATGTTAAGGTAAACATTAAGGTGTTTTATTGTGGTAATTTCTTTCAGATAGCAAATACGGTGCTGACACGATTCGAGTTAAAAGCGCAGGAAGCCGTAACTCTGCAATTCCTTTCCCAGCATCACTCCTGGCTGCTTATTTACTTTTGGAAAATCCCTGCCCCAGTCTGAGCCTTGGTCTGCACTCCTTTATAAACCCACAGATGAGCCGTGGAAAATGTAACCCAACCCAAACAACCCCTCGCTGCTTTTCCACGGGACCGATTTCTCAAGACTGAGTGGGAAAGAGGATCTCAAGGTTTTGAGTTGTTACAAGTCTGAGCAATTAAATCCGATACAAAAACACATTAATACACGGACTAAGAGTTTCTGAGGCGAGGAAAGATTAATAACCCTGGTATTTAACATCCTAATATAGCTACAGGCACAGTGAGTTTTCATGTCTGGTGCACTGGGGGGTATCGCACTGCACGACACACATTCACAGCCTCAGGCTTTGCTATTAAAATAGAAAACAAAAATTCCAGCTTTCTAAACCACTGGTCACTGCAACGACAGGTCAATCCTCCAGCAGAGAAAGATATCCGGGTGTTTCATTCACAGGATGTGAAAACGCAGCCAAGCACAACCCGCCAATCCTTCAAATTTAAGTCCTTTTTCACAAACACAGAGGGACAAGAAAAGCCTTAAACCAAACTCCAGTGGAGTCCTAGACATAAATCCACCATCAGAAATCACTTCTGTGATTGGACACTGGAGAGTTGGGCTGATTTTGATGGGATGGGTTGACACCATTCTTTTTTTTACTGACATTAACCAGCAAAGTTTTCCAAGCACCCGATTTTATATCCACCAAAGCAACTTGGGTTTTAAAAAACAAATTGGAAAAAAAAAAAAAAAAATCACAGTTACAAAGAAGTGCAAACTTCCCATTCACCCTCACAGCTGCTACCAGGAATCCCCATGCTCCTCAAAGTTTTCCATTCTGTAATCCCACGAAATTTAGCTTTCAGGCACGCCCAGGTTTGACAGGCCTGAGCAGCTTTCCACCCTATCTTCCACCTTAGGCTCACACTTGTATTCACAAGCCCTTCTTGAGGGCTTCCTCCGAAGGGGTTTGCTCCAGATGGCACCCAGAGCAGATTCCATCACTCCTGGGGAGGGGATAATTGGTGGTAGGGGCTGTGCCCCTCGTGGGAGCTCTGTTCAACGGGGGTCAGGCAACACTTTGGCTCAGATGTGGGAAATCTGGGTGAATTCCTGCTGAGATTCAGACCATGGGCCCTCCAAGAGAGTGTTCTATCAACCTGTGGGTTCATTTCTAGGGGAAAGCCCTTGATCTCTCTTGTGGAAACTGATACAGCCTTGCAGGGAACATCAAAGGTCCATCCTG